ACAGAAACCATCTGCTCCAAGCTCTTAGAAACTCCCTGATCTGTATGAAAACACCAAAAGCACCTGTTTGACATTTCTTCACAGAATTTTTGCAATCAGTCTGCAGGCCTGTGTTGTTCTTTGCAAGCATGTTTCAAGGAGGTCTAATGCAGATGAGAGGTAGAGTGAGAGTAAGAGGTAGAGGGGTCAGAGGAAGAGGAGTCCGTGTGCGAGGTGGAGGTATAGCTGAAAAGGCTCAGAGTCAGGTTACAGCTGAAATTTGGACAACTGTGATTGATCATGTCGTAAATCATGGTCTTTCACTTAAGAGAGGCTGGACATATAATAATAATAATAACAACAACAACAACAACAACAACAACAACAACAACAACAACAACAACAATAATAATTATAAGGCATTTTATTTAAAAAAATTAAATCAGGACACCCAAGAACGCTGTACAATAGAAAACAGACTCTGGAGGTACCGGCTGAGGCTGGATGGGGTCTCAGCTGCAGACGAGGAGGTCTCAGCTGTAGCAGGGACCAGAGTGGACTCWGAAGCAGAGACTGGCATGGASACCATGAGAGCCTCAGGCAGACCYGGGGAATTMACCATCAGACCCGGGAGCTTTGTAGGCTYKGRTGCTGGTTCAGGCTCTGAGTAGTTTTGTTCAGACTCTGGCTCAGTGAGTTCTGGTGTAGACTCTGGCTCTGAGAACTCAGGTACTGCAGCAGGCATGGACAGCATCTCCACAAGAGCAGCCATGATGAACACTGCCACAGCAGCCAGGGTGGTGACCACCACCACCTCCCTCCCTCCCTCCTCTCAAGACCGTCCTCACAGGAGGTGGACGCATCGATCCTCAGGAGAGTACAGGGAGCTGTAGAGGTGTCGACCATCTGGGGAGTCCAGATGGAGGTATAAGCATCGAGCCTCGCTGGAGCGCAGATAGTGGTGGAAACATTGATCCTCTCAGAGGCACAAAGAGCGCAGGAGATTGAGGTTAAGCCTGTCACGATAACAAATTTTGCTGGACGATTAATTGTCTCAAAATTTATTGCGATAAACGATAATATTGCCTGGTGACCGTTTTACAACTAATAATTATAAAAGCGTAATGTGTAAGTGTAATAAATCAATAAACTTTCATTTTTAAAAGAATGTTTAACNTTTCCCTGTGTCATTCCACATTATTACAAATAACTTCATTTCTGGACATTTATGGTTTGATTTCTTTGTATGTATGGATCACTTGGGTTGTTACCGACATCCGGTGAAAATTTCATGTCATTAGCACCTCTAGTAATATATTTACTGAGAAAAATGGTGACGTGTTCAATACTTATTTTACCCGCTGTATATTGATGAGCCGACACCGCCTCCTAACATCAGCTGTGACACCTCTGATGTAGACGGAAGTACTCGTCGAAACATGTCAGGTATGTCTGTAAAGACATAAAAATAACTAAGCGTCTAGTAACTAGGAAAAATTTTTATGATTTATTCAACCTTTTTAATCAGACTCATATTTAGTGAAGGGAGATTTGTATGATGTAACAGCAAATTCTTTTCTCAGTCCAAAATACTCAAAGATGAGGAACCAGCTTTGTCTTTTATGGTAATTTATTACAAAAATATAACAAGAATTTATTTCATTGAATCATGACTAAAACAGTAAAAAATAGACACCACATAGTGGTATCATAATGACCCCCGCACACACAAATGCACCAGAACTCAGAAGTCTTTATTCCTAATAAATGTCATTCTACCAGGTGCATCCCAAATTTGTAGTGGTTTGGGTGGGGGGTCGTTCTTTTTCTTTTTTTTTTTCTTTTTTTTTGGGGAGGGGGGACATTGGACCTGATGGATAGCCCCTCATCAGAGCTAAACAACAAAAGAAATCTGAAGCTTCTATGTTGAACAGTTTCTGATTTATAAGAATTTTTGCATGTCCTGACACCCCCAATTTGAAAGGAGCCCCCTTCTCAAATATGGGGTCTATCGTAAAACAGTTGGCTGGCGCAGTGTAGGTCAGACTCATCTACAGCCCTGCCAAATTTCATGTTGACCGATGCAGCCGTTTTTGTGCTACGGTTGACCAAAAATCTCAGGAGAAAAACAAAAACAACCAAAAAAATCAGTATGAAAACAATATGACTCCCGCTTACGCTTCGCGTGCGGGAGTCATAATAACTGCATGAAAGACAAAGCACTAAGGTTTATTTAACAGTTAAAGATGAAAAGGATTGTAGACTTGATGTTATACGTCTAAATTAAG